TTTTCTGGAATCAGGAGCTTTTTTTTTTTTTCTTTTCGAGAAGAGCCCTTGTGTAAGCCCTCTATCCCGGAGGTGGTAAGAGAACCGTCAGAATCGAGGGCTTATCTGTGAGAGGCGTACCACACTCCAATCCAAGGCCAGTCTGAGTCTGATTTGCTGGGAAATCCCTACCGGGTTCCCGGAAAATTCTTCTTCTACCCCTAACCTTCTAGAATTTTCTCCTTGTAACTAGGCCTATTTGCTAATTTAAAACCTATCCCTGTCCAAGGCACAGAAACAATAACGGAAAACAGGGCATGCACGGGGACGCAGGTAACATGCAGGCATACACATTTCATCGGCTGGTGCCACAGACTCAGAAAAAAAAAACAGGAAAACAGACTCCGGCCCAGATATATCAGCAAAACATATCAAACAGGAAAATAGACTCAGGCTTGTGTATCTCAGCAAAACATATCAAACAGGAAGATAGACTCAGACATGTGCATTTCTCTGTTTGTAACGGTGCAGGTCATTGTCAACGGGGAACTGACATACGAACTGGGGACCCCGTTGCTACACTGTGCTAAGTGATAATCCACGTTCACCCCGGTCGGCTGTGGTTAAGCATCAACGACTGCCCGACAACCGATATCCTGAGGTGGGCACCAACCCCTATATGTTATATAAATCAGCAAACAGATATATGTATATGTTACGGTGGATGATCACTTATACAGTGTGTAATCGTCAGGTTAGGGGATTCTGCAGACTGTTTTTGAGCATTCAGCCTCAGAGTCTACTGATTGATGAGTCAGTCGGTGAAACTCGGACGAAACAGTTTGTCACAGCCCCTCGTTTGTTGTCCTCTTCTCCCTTCTCCCTCTCTGCCTACGGTTTACCGTAGGCAGCTCTGTTCGACTATATATTGACGATAATCGGTGAGACTCGGACGGAACAGTTTGTCACAGCCCCTCGTTTGTTGTCCTCTTTTCCCCTTCCTTCTCTGCCAACTACGGTTTGCCGGGCAGCTCTGTTTGACTATACATCGTCAAACAGTATATATATCGTCAATATGTCCAATAGAGCTGCGCGGTAAACCGCAGGCAGGCAGAGAGGGGGGGGAGAAGAGGACAACAAACGAGGGGCTGTGACAAACTGTTTCACCGACTCATCAGGGGGCTATATATGTCATATATGAGTCGGTGAAACTCGGACGTGAACCGTAGGCAGGCAGAGAGGGGGGGGAGAAGAGGACAACAAGCGCGGGGCTGTGACAAACTGTTTCGTCGGAGTTTCACTGCCTCATATATGACATATATAGCCCCCTGATGAGTCAGTGAAACAGTTTGTCACAGCCCCTCGTTTGTTGTCCTCTTCTCCCCCCCCTCTCTGCCTGCCTACGGTTTACCGCGCAGCTCTGGCTGGCGATATCTATTTGTATATATACGACCCAAACAATCCAGGACCTACCATGTCCAGATCGTTTCTAGTATGCCGCAAGGGGGCAATTACATACGTTCAGCTAGTACTAGAAAACTAGTAGAAAAGCATCTCCTAGTAGTAAAAGTGGTTACCGTATTACTATTCCAATTTCGAAGTATTGGCCTAAAATCATAGTAAAATACTAAAATGCCAATCATAAACAATTTTAGACGGCCATGATTGGGGTCTACCCACATCTTTTAGGGGTATATTTCGGCAGGGCCTTCAACTTTGAGGGCTATTTTTTTCTTCCAACTCAAATAGCTCGCTGTGCCATTGCAAGCAAACCAAGAAAATAGCCCATGACATCAAACGGTCTGAAAGACTCTGAAACCGTTCTTCCTGCCTTTTCCTGTGAATTTCGAAGTTCTTCTTTGAAATTCTCTTTCCTTACTGCTGCAGCCTTTTTTGTGGTTTCTCGTTTTAAATTATTATTATTATTTCCTCTAGCTCCTCCTTTACTGCGTGCTTCTTTTGTTTATTTATTTTTTTACCGGGATTGAGGCTTTGCCTGGCGGGCCGCCCCATCTATTGGTGGGGAGCAACACCTGCTGGAAACCGGGTCCAGCGTCCCTTAAATACATCTTGTACAAAACAGTACATCTTGAGAGTGACGCCATTGTGCTGGAAACGGGGTGTGTGCTTCTAACGTACAAGACCTGTCTAATTGACGTAGGTGGGTGCGATCTGCCCACCGGCCCGTGTGCCATGACGGTCCTACTTGCAAGCTCATTCAGTCCTACATTTAATTTACTGTTACTGCAACTTACTGGGCTTTACCATTCCAAAGGATTGACCCTGAGGCTCTCTCTCTCCAGACTACCGTCTTCCCCCGAACACAACGCACCCTCATTTTGAGTGCATCGGACCGGAAACCTAGCCTCTATACATTCATAATGAGGGTGCGTTGTGTTCGGGGGATAAGGCAGGCTTCCCTATCTATGGATCATCTGTTCTTTTTTTTTTTTTTTTTTTTTTTTTTTTTTTTTTTTTTTTTTTTTTTTTTTTTTTTTTTTTTTTTCTTTTTTTTCTTTTTTGGGAACGAAGTTCCAATCTATTCGTGGGGAGCAGCACGTGCTGGGAACCGGGCCCAGCGTCCCATATAGAAAATTACATAGGATCATCTGGAAGAGACGATGCCAAGAGACTAAATTAATGACAAAATAGTAAAATAGTAAAATAGTAAAATACAGATGGATATGTGTGAGAGGCATGGGTCCTGTTTCCAGCAGCAAGTGCAAACGGAATTCTGGGTTGGGTTCCGTGGTGAAGGGCAAGGACAAAGATGAATGATGATGCAAATAAAAGGGGCTAAAAAAAAAATAACACAGATTTGAGGAGGACTTGTTTGCAAGAGGTAAGATTTTGCATCATTGCAGATTCTCACCCTCTGGGAAGGAGTACAACTCAACCAAACAGACATAGATTGAGCAAAGGGTATAATACCGAAATCCTTCAACATCAATCTCAAGTCCTAGGGTGGGCTTCTCTTACCACACACCCTCCCTAGCAG